GTAAGAAGACTTCAGTGACTTGTTCAGTATTTATCTTATTACAAGATTTCAATATTATATTCTTACTTAGTTAGTTAATAATAATCAGAATGTTTCTGCAGCTCTTACTCTCAGATAAATTAATAGCAAAGTTAATTACTACATCTTATCAGATTCTATTAGAGATATTAAGTGATTTCAGTAAATCTTTTCTACAGTTCTTTCATAAGATAATAGAAGAATAGTGATTGCAGTTTCAGACAAAGTGTCTGATACTGTTTAATATCTCAGATCAGTAGAATTCTCAGAAGATTATTCTATACAGTTATTCACAGTCTGAATAATCAGTTATATATGAATCATGCATCTCTTGTATTATCTGAGTGTGTAAGAATTCAGAGTGAGAGACTCAGCATCATTCACAGAATTATAGAGTGTTATTATTATTAATTAAGTATTCTGAGATATCAGTTCTTATACATAGTTCTGAAGAGAATCAGAGTGCTTCTTGATATACTGCTTTAGTAAGAGTCTGAAAAAGTTCATCAGTCTGAGCTGCTGTATATTACAGTTTATTCAGTGTAGAGAAAGTGAAGATATCAATATTAGTTCTAATTGAAGAAGCATATATAATGCTGTGAGCTGTTTCATCTTGATTAATTAATATCTTCAGATTCAAGAGCTGATGCTCTCAGTTCATTCAGTGAGTATCTATTATATTAGATGATATATCTTACTCTTATTATGAGAGAGCATCTATCATCAAGTTCTGACTGCTAGAATGATAGTGTATTGTAAAATAAAAGCAGCTTAGAAACTCAGATCATTACATTTATTATTCAGTAAGTTTATAAGTAGTTATAAAGTATTTAAGATTCTTATGATCTGTAACTATTTCAAATTCAGAGATACTTCAGAGTTCAGAGTCTCATTCTTCTAAACAGTGTATAATTATGAGAAGTTTCTTATCATAGATCTCATAATTGCATTCAGCAGAACTCAGTTTCTTAGATATGAAGATACATAGTTATAGAACATCTTTATTATTATATTACAATATCACTTCTTCTATTATATAGTCAGAGAAGTCAGCTTCAATAACTATCTCATAATCAGAATCAAATATTATCAGTAGAAAGATATTAATAAACATCTTCTTTATCTGTGTAAATGCAGCTTCAATATCTGCTGATTATTAAAATACTGAGTCTTTCTTAGTGAGATCTGTAAGTGATCTTGCAATATCTGAGAAGTTTTATATAAATCACTGATAGAAGTTAGTAAATATGATGAAGCTTTATACATCTTTCACAGTACACAGAGCTTCTCATTCAAGAATGACAGAGACTTTCTCAGAATTCATTCAAATCCCCTTGTCAGCTTCTATAATAAAACTCAGATACTTGATACTCTTGACTTCAAAATCACACTTATCAATATCTATCAGTAGTTCTGCTTCTTATAGTCATTGTAATATCTTTCACACATATTCTTGATATTCTTTTCTAAATTCATCAGTGAAGATGAGAATATCATCTAAATAAGTAGATACAAACTCATCAAGAAAATCTCAGAGTACTCAGTTAATATACTTCTAAAATGTACTAGAGACATTAGTCAGTTCAAAGAGTGTGACTATTCATTCAAAGAGATCATAATATGTTTAAAATGCTGTAAGTCATTCATCTTCTTCAGTGATACAAATCTTATAAAACATAGTAACAACATCTAGTTTTATAAACTATTGAGCTCATCTAATCCATGCTAGAGTCTCATTAATAAGAGATAAGAGATATTAATCTTTCTTTATCAGTCTGTTCAGACCTTGATAGTTCACATAAAATCAGAGTTCTTCATCTGATTTCTTTGCAAAGAGAATAGAGGCTGCAGTGAAAGAGTTACTAATATATATGAATTCTTTATTCAACAGATCATTGAGTGTCTTTCAAAGAAGAAGAAGTTCATCTCAGAACATGTTATAAAAAGAGTCTCATGATAATTCAGAGTTTTTATCATTCTTTTTTTCTAACTTGATAAGAACTCTGAACTGTTATAAGACTCTTGTAAGAGAGATATGTTTATAATATTATTTTATTAAAAGACATCTAGATATTCATGATATTATTAAGAGAGTTTCATATAAGAATCTGTTATTGTAACATGGAATAACTTTTCTAGAGCCTTTTTAATATTAGTCAGACTGATGAAATAGATTGACACATGATTCTACTGTCAGTGAACTTATCAGTAACTCTGTCAGTGATTTTAATGATAACTTCTTTTTCAGAGTATTTCATACATATTGACAGAGATCTGTGTTAGATTCATGATCTTGTGAATGTCATCTTCATGAACTCTATTATTATTAGGGAATATCAAGCTTCTGTTTCAAGTATTCAATAAGATGTCTTGTTCAGATAGCTAGACAAGTTCTAATATAAGATTATAATCAAGATTATCAACTTCATATGTGTAGACATTCTCATATTGATGTTCTCTCACATCTATAGTCAGCTTCATTATATAATAGATACAAACATCTTTCAGATTATTAAATTCTGCAAGAAGTCAGAGTTTTGATAAAGAGATACACTGAAGATTATAATATCTTATAACTGAAGATTTTATTATTGTATAGTAATATAGACTGCTGTCTATCATGACTTTCATATTATACATGTTATCAATCAAAGTAGATACAAGAATTACATTCATTATTATCTTCTCTTTAAATTATTATTATTCAATCTCTTCAAGCTTCTGTTTATAAATTTGAATAGAAGCTAATTTTTTCTCTGTTTCATCAGAGCATTCTCATAGTTATTCTCTGAATCTTTCTCTAATGCAATGTGATTGATGCAGACAGACACTGATTCATTCTTCAAACAAGAAGATACATAGATTAATCAGCAGTTGAAAGCAATGTGTTCTGATCAGTTACAGTTAATATACACTTTATATTGACATTAATCAGTAACTTCTTCAGAAGTGATCTCAGAGACTCAGAAGCCTGTTCAAACAGCAGAAACTCTTGCTTATACATAGATATTTGAATCTATTCAGTTCATGATCTCTGCATCATTGTTCTTCAATGCAGATGTATAAGTGACTGAGATGTAATATCTTCTGTCACTGTTCTGTATACTCTTGAGCTTGATAAGACAGTCATTCAATGTTCAGAGCTGTGTGCAGAAGTCTTCATAAGTTAAGTCTTTGTCTATGCTTACAAGAGTCTGTAAGAGTTCAAAAGTCAATATCTTCTTAAATATACTAATCTTTATTCAATTCTCTCAAGATTAATCATCTGCTTCTAGAATCTTAGTGTTGAAGTCAGAAATGAATGTTATAAGAGAAGTATTTCTCTGTCAGATACTCTGTAATCAATCTAATACTTTCTATTATATAGCAGTGTCTCAGAACAGAATATCAAGATATTTCATAATATTATCAGATATTCATAACACTGATTTACATGCTTTTATTCATGAATAGAACTTCTGTTTTATATAATTCTTCAATCATTCATTGATATATTAATCTTAATTAGTTAATGAACTGATGAAATCTTCATCTACACTCAGTTTTACAAGCATTTTCATTCTTCATGATGAGTAGAGAGTGAGATTAGAAGTATTGAAATATATAAGAGTATCTAAGCATTCTTTCAGTGCTTTTATATTCAATTCTGTAGATGCTGGAATTGCATGAGTTTCTTATTATAATAATTATTAAATCTCTTCATATTGATGTTATTGAGTTGCATGCATATCAGCTATTTATTATTATTATAGTTTCAATATTGCTTAGAGTCACTGTGACACTGTATCTATACTCATGTTTGAGAGTTTCATATTATTGTTAGACATGATTATATCAATTGTTAAATGTATAATTGTATAAATATCTTATACATCTGAGTGTCAGAACTCTCAGGTCTTTCACTGATATTCTCTTATAAGATTTTATTCTCTTTATAAGATCTTGTTACAGAGTCAGAGTGACTGATGAGCAAGCTTCTATCTAAGAACTATCTGAGAACTTGATATCTGCTTATCTGTGTTTTCTCTTTCTTATGCATTGTTACATGTTCAGATATCTCTTGATGAATAATTGTTTCTAATGAGAAGATAATGCATGAATAATTGTTTTCTAATAAGAAGATAATGAATGTTTTTATAGTGTAAGAGGTCTACACTGAATAGATCAGTATAATATTGATAGATCTTATATAACAAAGATAAAAACATTAGAGAAGAAAAGAAAGAGAAAGTGTGAGAATCAGTGATCAAGATGGATATTTATACACATATGTGGTGATGTACGCGGTGGAGCTTCAGGGCGGAAGAATATACATGCATTCATAGCAGCTGAGGATCAGTGATTGGGAATGGCTGAGAATCGGAGTGTATGCTACACACGTTCGTAGCGGCCGAGGATCAGTGATCAGGAATGGCTGAGAATCGGAGTGTACACTACGCGCGTTCGTAGCGGCCGCGGATCGGCGATCGGGAATGGAAGAATCTATGGAGTGTAATGGAATAGTCTATATGATTGATCGGGCGCAGCCCGCCACAATATTATTTATAAAATTATATTAAAATAACTGCTTTTTCTGAGTATATAAAATAAGTGATATTCTCTGCAATGAAGAATATATTTTTTAAAAAAATATAAATTTACTGATCAGTGAATTTAGAGAAAATGAAATATATCTAGTAAAAAGTAAAAGTCTTTCTGAAAAATATGAACTACTCTTGTCAAAATATTAGTACAATGTTTTTAAAAACAAAATGTGCCATTCAAGCTATAACCTGTAGAATAGTTAAAGGTTGTATTGATAGAGCTATCTACAAAGAGCTTAATATAGTGGTTGGTCATGTGATCTAGGGAGATCGCCACAGGCAATAGCCGCAGCGGCCGCAGCGGCCAACATATAGTTTTGGGGCGAGATAGAGCGGTTCATAAGCGGGAGATGTTAATCTGTCCCGATATACAACTACAGCCGAAACCGGGTTCAAATTTTAATCAACCTTGATAGATCGATAAATGCGTTGGACGAACATCCAGCTTGCAATTAGACCAATGGATCCTGTGTTGTGAAAAGACATCAGCATTCAAGGCCAAAACAAGGGGGGTTTATTTGGATAAAATTGTTGAAAAAGTGGATGCCAGTGGCTGGCTAGTAAAACTTTTGGAAATAAAGGAATAAGGAGTCATACCAGTTAAAATAAATACTAAAAATGCTATCAGAGCCGAATATCCCAAATACAATACTGCACCTGTCAACCCGCCAAAGCTCACACGGGTTGCCCAGAAGACCAGGGCGTTCAAAAATACGTAACCGCCAGTCATCCCCGCACCAATAAACGCCCGCCAGTGCCATCGGTAATCCTCGGCACACAAGAGGAAATACACGAGCAGAACTGTCGTTGCCGCTGAGGTAATGATCATGAGGCCGTAGCAGAGGAAGAGGAACCCAAACATATAGTAGATTTTACTCGTCCAGAGGGAATGCATGATAAAGTAAAGTTCAACGAAGATGGCGGCAAATGGGAGGAGGCCTGTAATAAGTGTTGATGGGATGGGGCGGAGGGAGCCACCCACTGGTGGGATTTGGCGTGGGATTTGGTTCGTTCTGGTCGGGCCTTCGATAGCCTATAAGGGAAACAGTTAGCAAGAGAAATGGTGGTAGACGTGTAATTGGTGTAGACCTACTCGCTGCTTCAATCCGACCCAGCTACCGGCGACACTAAGAGGAACGCTGATAACAAACCATATCAAAACGGTGATGAGCATGGTTGTGAACGGTACAGCGCCGCTGGATCCCTTGAACCAGACGAAGAGGTTCAAAAAGAAAAATGTTGAGAAGGCAATTCCAGGAGTTAGAACTGGTGTGAGAACTATGAGTTTCTTCCATGCTTCGCCGCCAAATGATTTGTATGCCCTCGCAGCGACGTAGCCACCAATAAATCCGAGGAAAGTATAAAGGATCAATATTATTGTCCCTAGGAATCCACGATTTGAAGGGGAAAGTAATCCGAGGAGCGCAAAAACTAGGTAAAAGTTAGCAAGAGACACGAAATATAACTAGAAAAATATGAACGTCACTTACGGACTGTGATCCCGGTCATCACAAACAGCTGTGCACCATTCCCCAAGAATACGCTGAGGAGAAGAGGGTGCTTTGGGCAACGGAACACGTCTCCGTGGACTAGCTTCCACCCAGAATCCTCCTGAATTCCATCCTCGACAGTTGCAGAGGTGTCATTCAAGTCGTCCAAAGTGATCATATTCAACCTGTTATATCTCGCAATGTCTTTTCTTAAAGCGCGGAGCAAAATAGAGCTCACCAAGGCGACAAGCAAGACAACGAATACGGCAGAGTAGATGAGCGAGTACCAATGAACATTCGGGTCGAAGACGTGAAGATATTTGTCCCAGCGGGTTGCCCACACGGTTGGAGATTCCCTCCAGAACACGCTGTATGTCCACGCAATTGTGGTATCCTCTTCCTCATCGAGAACAACGGGAGGTCCGTCTAGGTCGCATTCTGCCTTCCCATCCACAATTTTGCTATTCTTGTGCGATTCCGGGAGAACTAGAACACCAACAACCCGGTATTTGATTTCCTTCCCCAAGCCGCTAACTGTGTGATAATCTATTAAAATGTTATAGTGGTTGTTGAGAATTGCTTGGCCGTCATCGTCCACCGAACCTAGGGTGAATCCGGGGCTATAGAATTCGGTTCCGGTTTGCTCGTCGATATTGATCTGAGCGGCGGGGAGTCCGTCGATCAACCAGTTAATATTATAGTGCTGCCATATCAGGCGATTAACGAACTTGCTACTCTTAGGGTCAAATGTCACGTCAGAACATAATGGCTTGCAAGTTTCATTCTTGGCCATATGTAGATCGAAGGGAGAGGTGCGGATACGGTCCCCAAATACAATGCTGCCGAGCGACTCCCGAACGTATTTCGGGCCATCTTTTGGCCGGCAAAAATGGAAAGCAGGATGATAATAGTCGTAGGGGATGACGGAATGAAGCTGTTCATCAAGCTCAGATATCGCAGGGGTAATGCGATTAACGTGAAGCGGGACTAGCTGTCCTTGGTCGTATGATGTTGGAGCGACACCTGGCAGATAGAAGGCGGAGGTAAACTGCGGAGAAAGGAGGACGGCGCAGGAGAGAAGCTGCAGCTTCTTAGAACACAACATTTTTAGGCAGCTATCTGATATAGGCAAATTTAAATTTAGCACTGATCAAGGTCGGTCCCCCGGATAGTTGGAGTTACATACTGGCAAGGGCGCAGGTTCGCCAGTTAGGAGATAAACATGGAGAGCCGTTTTCAAGACACCATGTGCGTTTTACAGTGAAAAGGAAGATATCTAGAAGGGAGAAGCTTTATTTGCGAATATAAATCATACAGAGAGCAGGCCGAACTGTAAAATAGCAATTCCAGCCTTGAGAATGGCGTTTCAAGTAGAACAATTGAAGTTGGCTCGGAGGTTTCTTTAAGATTGGCTCGACCGTTGATAGTCACGTGGTAACTATGTAGTCACGTGATGATAATGTAGACGACCGACCCCGATACACCAGCGAATCACATATCATATCAAGCCAAACTCCAATAACTTTAATTTACATCCGCAGTACCGTGCCTCCTTGTAACAGTCCACTCCACCACCATTGCGCCTTGCTCGATTGAATGATTAATAAAACAGAGAGGAGAAAAACCCAACCAAGAATAAAATAATTTAAAAACAGAATGAACTCTAACTTCCTAGAGCGCCGACAGGTCTTGCTCCGCTCAGGTTGATAACACGTGCGCCCATCGCTCCCGCGGGACTGGGGGCCAATCCGCGAGCACTTTGGCCGAATCTTGGGTTAGGGGTTGGTTTCACCCAGCCGGGAACCTGGCCATCTTCGCTTTCTTTAGCACAAATGGTTCGCCATACATTAGGAAACCCCGTTGGGAGGGGCCCTTTCAATCGTGCTCCCGGGATAGCGAAGCGTGGGTTCTTATGGGTTAGATAGCCACGCATCAGATCTTGTACAAGAAGTGAGGCAAGAACTGATTCGACGTCGCGCATCAATGGTGAAGGGGCTTCTAGATCGTTTTCATCCTCTGGTATGGTTCCTGCACTAGGTATATATGCAAGCGCATCAGCGACGAGATTCTCGGCATCTTGTTGTTCACCAGCGGGGTGGTTAGGTAGATCATTTGGGCTAGAGACATGCACCCATTCCCCATCACGGTCGAAATACCCGTCGGGATCGAAGTAGTCATCATAATCAGTAGTTGCGTTGGGCGTAGTATTGTTCGCGGCGTCTAGTTTAGCGAAATCGCGATCTGCAGCGAAGGAGAAGAGCCGCCTTTCTTGAGATGGATTCGACGTTTGTAGCGTTTGCCCAGGTTGGCTTATAGCGGAAAGCGAATGCAGCGTTTGTTTGGACCAACGGGATTCTATCCACATAACGGCTTCTTCTACTTTGCTAAGATAGAGGAATGGTGGGGGGCCTCTTTGTGCCTGGGCTTTCTGATCCCCATGGAACCCGGAGAAGATAAATACTTTCCTGGCAAGGGAACGCCAAACTAGAATCTCACACCTGTTTCGTAATTGCAGCAAAATCCCCTTGCGAGCGAAAAAGTCTGCATGAGGTGAGTCAACATCGAGGTACGATCGAAAGGCACCTAGGTCACCACTGGTGATGATCCGGCATATGGGTAAAAATACGTCGTCAAAACCCTTTGATTCCGGCCGTTCGAGTAGAGTGCTGGATGGGAAACGCCCGAGGATAATGTTACATGGTATTAAATATGTTAAAATGAGGTGCCGCTGTTGGAGTGCTTGCCTATGGCATTGGTTATAGGCGGCCTGCAATGCGGTTTGAGCGGGGAAGAAAAGATTGTTCGAAAAGAGATATCGCCCCAAGTAATAAAGATAGGTTACCCTTTGCGCGGCCGGGAAATGGGAAAGCGGAGGAGATTGGGCATTGATACTCGCAAACATTTGCTCAGCATTTCTAAGTTTGCCACACTGGTCGGTGAATGGTTAGCTGCCTAGCAAGGAAACAAATAAAAACATTACGAGCGAAGCACCTTGAATAAAAGCTTCAAACATAGGTTTGCCATCAAGTAGATTCCCACGCGTTTCCCTTCTGGCTTCCCTTGTGTACTAGCTGCCCCACTCCTATCAGTTAGGCATTTGATAAAAGCTTCACGAACGACATTCGCTGATTTCTCAACTAGCGTGACCTTCTCCGTTGCTTCGTCTGATCCAGCTGCCTCTTTTAGCAAATGCGAGACCAGTTCTGGTCGACGGTCTAAGCCGATTGCTAGCTTCGCGAGCACTTTCGAAAGATATAAAACCGTAGGCAAGACAATGACTCCCATTTGGCTATCGCTCAGGGCAATGACACATTGGCTGTAAAAAGTAGAATCCCGCGGGGGTTATTAGCCATCCTGGAAAAAAAGGGAGATTAATATAGACAGAATGGAATCGCATCGCAACGTACTTTAAGAGCGCCTTTAGTAAGTCGTAGGTATCCAACAGATTCTCAACATTGACGTCCCGTAAGAATGTGAAATACTGTCGTAAAAATATTGGAAAAGCGGACCAAGAGCCATCCGGAATCACAGATTCACATTTTCCCAAAAGGTGGTCGTGATTATTTCTATTTTGCGGGTATTGATTCTTCATCTCCCCAATCATATCGTGATATACAGGGGGCAATGGAGGTTCGATTTGGAGAAAATCCTGTAGCTTCGCTCCATCTCGATCACGGATGAGCTCTGCAATGCTTATTATGAAGCTATCCACGACAGGTGTCGCTCCAGAAGGTCCACCCCACATTTTGAAATAGCGTAAGGACACAGATAACACGTTCACTCAGGTGAATGTGTCGTTTAGGAGTGAGGCGCAAAGTGTAGTGAGAGGCACATGAGCGGAGGGTGAGAAGCTTGGAGACCTTTCCGATCCATCGATAGATGCAGTTCGAATGATTCCAGAGGGTATAAAACACGGCACACAGAGAACTAGTTACGTTACATTACAGCAGAAAAACATGAACAACGTCATTTGACTCAAATGTCACTATAGGCTGCCGTAGTTTTTCAACTTTAGAACAGAATTACTCCCTCTCTCTCTCTCTCTATCTCTCTCTCTCTCTCTCTTTCTCTTTCTTTCTCTTTTTAAGTGCCAATTATAAACCCACAGGGAACGGAGATACTTCTTATCATGAAGTCCACGAAGATTAGTGCCTGTCTTATCAGTTCAATGAAAGCTCGTTTCTCATCCTGCACCCCTTAATCGATCTTGGGCGTGTTGTTCTCTGGTTTGGGGCTGCATGCGGATAGCCACGTATTATGCACTCAAACTGCCACGAGAGACGCACCGGATTGATGTTTTAATTGGCCTTATTCTTAAAACAGATCGGCCTGGCCAGTGACTACCCTCGACTTCGTTTACTTTGGCGCATACTCTTAATCGAGGCGGTCATTGTTTGTGGGGAGACAGGGTCCGGCGCATCCCTTTCATGGTTTCACGACATCTCAGGCAAATTATTGCAACATGTTGGGGTATATTTCCTTTGGAGGATTGGACAGTGTAGACTTCCTGTGCTTCTCATCACACATTGATATCTCAGTGTTTATTTAAGCATATGATTTTATTCTTTGAATATATAGGGAAATACTGCCTTATTTTTACCTATTCCCATCTTTTATCCTTTCCCTGTTCCATCCCTTTTTGATTCACTTGTGGGTTTTGCACACCTCATTCTGTTGCCCACTATTGGCCAGCTGTGACAATCATTTCCTGGCCAACATCATCCCCTGATCAAAACATCTGTGCCTCTAACAACAGCCTTGATATACTGTAGCCGTATCTACTTCGTTCTTCGTTCACTTCCTACATCTTGCATACATATCCTATCTGTCTGTTTACTCCAAATTTCCATATCGATTCTCCCGAACAGTAAAATGCGCCCTTTTCTAACTACCGCTCTCGTGGGGCTCGTTGGTTGGGTTTCCGCGTCTGCTGTTTCCACACGACAATACTGTGGTCCAAAGTATGAAATGTGCGCTGCAGAGGGTGCCATTTCAGCGGCTCCTCCTTCCATTGGCCCAGACATGCGAAAGCTTTTCGTCTCCGTGGTAGAATCAGTTGACGTTACAAACCCCTGGAAGCGAGGGATTACCAAACGTGTTGATGCTGTTCAACGAGCTGAATTGCCTGGTCTTTGCTGTATGTGGCTGCCGTATATTAATAACCTAATCCGAAAGTTGACGGCCAGATACTAAAATACCCTCTACATAGGCAAGCTTGGAATGGAATGCCGGCTACTTGAGAATTATCAAACCTCTTTTTGCTGGGTATGTGCTGTGTATCCATATAAAACTAGCCGCAACGTCATGCCGCTCTGTTTCTGGCGTGACAATCGAGAGAGCGGATAACACTAACATTTAACAGGATCGATTTACAACAAACTTCTACCTTGTCGATGGCTCCTATGGCAGTATTCTGACTGGAATTTACAACACCTCCGCTAGCGACACTATAGATCTAGTCTCGGGCAAATACACACGCTCCAACGGGGAAACAGGAAATATCTACGATGGTGACGAAGCATCTAAGCCTAATACTAGCACTATGGTTCTTCCTCCGGCATGGACAAGCAAAGGTGTCGGTACTGCCATTCCAGGCAGCGAACTGGGAGACGGAGCGACATATACAACCACCATCCCTGGCATCACTAAGGATCCCGTGACTATCCCGCCGTCCACAATTCCTGCGTCAACCATCGACGGCACAGTCATACCGGGAACCACGATCCCGGGTACAACTATACCCGGAACTACATCTCCTCCATCTACACTCACCAAGACGAGACCAAACCCAAATGAAACAGGGTCCCCGTCAGCAGCGGCTGGGGAGAAAATAGTAGCTCTGCCTATGATTGAAGCGATCTGTTGGCCTGCTCTAGTGCTTATAGCATTTTTAGGTCTGTAATCGAACTTTGAATTGGGTTCCTTTACACGAAGGCAAACGGGTTTCAAAAAATTTGGTATCGTTTTGGCTACTACGCTACGTTGGAGGTTATTTGTTCTCACCAAGTTTGCCCATGTCTCCATAGACGCAAGCCGCCAAGTCTTTGCGGATGGAGATAGCCCTAAACTTTGTCAAGCGTAAGCTATCAGTGGGCTTCAAGACATGTGATTCCAAATGCAAAATGTAATTTCACAATAGAGAGCCAAGAAGCAGCTTCGGTACCCTATATTCATTCCTCTTTTGTATTTGTTCTCATGAGTTTGTTCTGTTCCTGCTCACCTACGGTTTAGCGATGATAAGGCGAGTATATATACGAGCGTCAAAGCAGTCATAATGACAGGAGTCCTTGATCCACACTTACATTACTGCGCTCGATCAATTCCTTAACGTTTAAGTCAATATTGCTCCCCTCAACTGAACAGGAACTAGTTATTCTCCACGCCAAAAAGGACGGAAAAATGTGTTTCTTGAAATTCATCATCTCGACCGTACTACTTGCATTCATAAAACTATTACCTTTCAATGCGGCTGCGACTAAACATGGACAGACAAGGGAGGTATGTCGCCCCCATTTAGTTCTGTTATACCTGAAAATCTCTGGTCTAGAAGCTGAGAAGGTTGTTGGAGTGTTGAAAATCGTCCACTATTAGCAAATCAATTAAAAGCGAAAATGAGACTTCAGAGATCGTCTATTGGGCATCTCGCGGCTCTCGCTCGATACAATATCTTCAATAGGTACCCTACCCTTTAACTAGAGAGACTAACAAAAGACTATACAGGTTTCCTACTTTACTGGTCCTAATAAAACCAACCTAGAGGGTATCATCCCAAAGGGTATATGCGAAAATTTCAACAACGTCTTGTGCGTCCTAATCCCCCCTACAGACCAGAAACAAAGCAAATGACCACTGACATCCCATCTCCATACCAAGCACCGGAAATAGTGGCTCCCTAGAGATTCCATATGGGATATATTGCAGCATCTACGAGTGTGGCCCCCTATACTTTCCTGTATTTACTTTCTTCCATTGGGTTTGAGAATCCCGCTAATGATGTAACGACTACTGCATTGAATAATAGTTCGACAAACTGTACTGGCAACTGGATCTTTCAGTTAAACCACCCAGGAATTGATGATCTTTCGGCAAACCTTGTCCCATACCTTATTCCGCTGTCCATGGAATGTTTCGAATATGGAGACTGGTAGAGTTGCCACAGCCGAGGAAGGGGATGAGAGGAATTGGGCAGTTAAACTCGGATTTGAAAAAAGGTGAGCTTTCACGTCAAGGGCTCTGATGGTTAAATGACTGCTTTGAGTCTTGGTCTGGGAGATTTATTTGAGTGACAAACCAAAGGAAACTCCCGCAGCCAAACTGAAGTCAATTAACACGCACTTTGTACGTATGCACAGTCGTACCTCGCCTCTCGTTATTCTATCAGGACTAATCAGCTCGGTTAAAACGCATGTACTGGGTATACACGTGTCGGGTATTTCGTATGAATATATCGGAAACGTATGAATCTCATATGTAACAAGATATGCACCACTATCTATCCTAGCTAGTTCCATACAAAATATAGGGATTTTTATAGGAAAATGAATGTGCGAGCCAAGAAGCTAGCAATTAGTGAGTATTAATGAGCAATTGTAGTAGGCTGATGATGATAGGAAAAATAGTAGTAATATGATGTTAGTAGAGATCATAGCATATGACCTCTTATTTTCCAACACACTCTCTTCAGCAAATGAAGCATGCAAAAGAAGTGTAAATGAAGCTGCAGAGATTACTGCAAATATTAAGACAATTTAATCATAAGAAAAGAATTAAAAGAATAAGAAGATAGAAGAATAAAAATAATCATCAAGATAAATCATTTATATTCTTATTTTACTTACACATTGATAATATTCAATATATTAACTAGGCTTAGTAACTTGACAAATTCTGAATGTTTCTGACATAGCAGATTTTTAATGAAGCTGTTTACTAATATCTGAGTTATAGATACTTAATTAACTGTAATATTACTGAATTAAACACATTCTCAAAGTTAGCTACTGAATATATTAACATAGTAGAGTTTTGTGATAATGAAGAGATTTTTCTTTATTAAAATCTTAACAGTTTGACAGTTATTATGTAAGAATAAGTACTTGCAGATGATTATTCTGTTGAGAGTCCCGCGGTTGATCGGCTCTTCTATCAGCAGATGCTGGTGATGATTGAGCTCTTTTGCCTCAGTAGTCTACAGATTATGAGACTGTTAAGTGTGAGCTCTGCTGTGATTAGACTGACCGTGTGACTAAGTCTGAGACCAGAATCAGATTTTTTATTAGTCTCATTATCAATTCAACTGATCTCATTACACAGTTTTAACATTAGATAGTAGTCTCATACTGTCTCAGTGAGACTTACTGTCTACTCTTATCATATTTTTCAAATAAGAACATGATTTTCACTTCTCAATTTAAATTATTTTTATTACTTTAAATGACTTTAAATCTCATTTAAGTGTTATCAAAAAGCATTACTTTTTAAATAATTAAAAATAGTCTAAAAAAAACCTTAAAATGTCTAAAAATAGTAACTTTATGTTAAGAATGAGACTAAATGAAATTAAATAAGATTACTTTCTTATTTTTTTCAAGTCATGATTTCATTTTAAGATCTGATATATAGTCACTTTACATGTTTTTTTAATAGTCAGTCTCAGCAGAATTCACACTAAGAAATGTATGAAATCAGATTAAATAAGATTAAATGTGAAATTTATAATCTCAGTAGTCAGTCTAGCTGTGATCA